CGCTGTCGTTCCTATCCAACCTCGCGCTGACCCTTCCCTGAATGAAGGCGTAAACTTTGTCGTTGAAAATGCCCTGGAACAAGATAATATTTTGAATGAATTAAGCTAATACTCATTCAATAACACAATACTCAATCGGTTCGTTAGTGTAACAATTAGTACACCAATAAGTGATGTCGGTCGTGCGGACCTTACTTTTGAACTTACATTTCACGGAATTGCTAGCGCTATTCGTTTCAATTAGAATGTGTCTTTGAATTTGAGTTCGGCACCAATTAACACATTTGAAACGATACGGAAACTGCTCAGCTCCGACTGCCTTCAGTGTTTTCTTGTGTACATGTGTACATACATATGCACATGCATGTACACTTGCACACATGTCGCGCCTGCATGTATCCATGCACACACGTCGCACATACGTGTACACGTGCACACCTCACTAGGAAAAAAGGGTCAAATAACACTTTTGCGAACACACATAAAACACATTTCGTCAAAGTTCTGCACGCTAAGAACACAAAAACAACATAAACCCGTGAACTTTGTACACATTTGAACACGTGTTATTTGGCCCTTTTTTTCCTAGTGCCTTTCGCACACATACGATAAGATGCACATCTGCGGAAAGGAAATCCAGAATCCACAGTCGTGTCTTTCCTGAGCCTAAAATATCAGAGAACGCTCGCAGCAGTGTTCGCAGTTTGCGTGGCTTCAGCACTCGCCACCAACGTGGAAGGGGTACTCTAAAAGTATGAAGCTACGAAGGTAGAAGTCCCAATTTGACGTATTAAAATATACGATATTAATGTTTCTAGCGACTGAGAGCAATTTTTTGACGATTTCTGTACGTTCTTCTGAGCTTGGGAGGAAACTGTGAAGTGATGCAACTTGAACTATATTTCTTTAATTGAATGGAACAAACTCCAACAATCGGGGCTGCATTTCGAAGCTGTGGGACGTGTTTTGTTTGTTATTACCTGCATTTCGGGCTGCTCAGCGCCTTCCCTGGAGTCTAAATACTCGATTTCGCCTTCTTCGTTTTCTCGCAGCCATTTCGGGCATCTAACCGCGTTGCAGCAGGAACGTTCAGTTCTTTTGTGCGCCACTTGAATCCAGCGCATTCCCGAGAAGAGCTCATGAGCCAAGCTCAGTGTCCAGATAGGGTACTTTAACACAATACTTCGTTGCAATGTCCCATTTACACGCTAATTTGTACGAACTCAATCATTAGCATGGATTAATTTATTACCGGCTTATTAACCAGCCCTAAAGGCCAAGTGCGCAGAACTTTCTGGAAAGTGGATCAAAATTCTACCGCAGTGCTTCAACGCAGTTTTCACCCCCAATGCCATGTTCTAGTACTTTCTGTGCTGTACGTAAGCGCAGCACTCTCCGAAGTGGGCGCAGAAGTGAGCGGGTGCCACCTCATCTCCGTCATGGCCTCCGACGAGAGCGGCGTCACGCAGTTGCGGGTCTCCATGCTAATTTTCTTGGACCCGCCCTTGGCTCCGGCATAAAAATATCTCTGCTGAAAGTCGATGGAGACCATGTCGTTGTCCAGGAAGCCGGTGCCGTTGCCGAACTGGAATTGCACCCCAACCTGGAGCCACCAGAAAGCGCATTAATTCATCTCCGTTGCTTGAACGGTGTTTTGAACATTTCATTTCAATAGCGCAAGTACGATTGTCGATGGGTACCGCAATGCTGACATGTGCAATATTCCAAAAGTGTGCAGCGATAGCTGCCAAGCGGAGAATAGTCGTTTCTCGCCCAATGAAGCAACCTGGAAAATTCACGAATTGATGCATTGATTGACTTTAGGTGATGGATCGCCAAATTCGGCATCTCTCAATTCACCGCGATTCGCAAATGTAACTCAAAGTATAAAATTTCGAAATCAAAATCCCACCCAGGGGATCTTGATTTTTAATACAACGCAGCGCGTTACACCATCATGCACAAAATCAACAACAGAAAGAATAACATTGCCCCTTCAATTCTTCCGAAGAGGCAACCCGTACAGTATGTACAAATGCGTATACCACAATATACACAATGGTACAAAAAGTACAAAATTCTGTACTTTCTGTATTATTGTTCACATATTGTATATATGAGTCAACACAACGTGGGGCGGAACTGTGTGAAAACAATCCAACCTCTGGCACAGGTGGGCTTGTGCTCGGCTTCACCAAAAAGTCCTCGTTGTGGGGCACCTCCGCCTCCAGCAGGTCGTACGGCAGGGTGCCGTACTGAAACAGGATGTACCCAAGGCAGGCCACCATGATCAGCCACAGAAGGTTCGAGAAGCAGAACCCGGACCACGTGCGGAATGGCTCAATCTGGGCGGGCACGTGGCCGTAGATGTCGTACGGCACGTCGAAGTCTAGGCGGCCGGCCCAGGGCCACCGCCTCCGCCTCTCCATGGCGACTCCTCGAATCTGGTAGTTTTGCCACCATTTTCACCAACTTGTTAAAAATACACAATGCAGGAAAACAATTTACTGTAAACAAAAAATTTGGTGAAATGCTTACCAAGCATTTTCACCAAAATTTAAATGGTACAATGTAGTAAAACAACGTGATATGATAGATACAATTAAACAAAACAATCTCACCTCCGGCAAAGTGGGGTTCGTGGTAGGCTTCCCACTCTGACGACTCTGTGAATCGAAGATTCTGAAGTACTGGAAGAATCGGAAGTATCGGAAGAGTCGAAGAATCAAGGGGCTTTGGTGCTTTGCTGGTCGACGGCTGAATGGGTTAGGCAGTTGAGGGCTTTGGAGGTGAAGCTGGACGGAACTCGTCGTGGGGTCCTCTACATTACGGGTTGAGGGACGAGAAAGCCTCCACAGAGGGGAAGCTTCCCGGAATCGATGGGCAAGCTTCCTCTCGAAGCTGGGAGGGAGGTGGGGCGCAACGTAAGCGAAAGCTTCCCTCGGGGCGAGCTGGGCTTTGGGGGGCGGAAATCTTCCCTTTGGCGTTGGGCCGCGGGTCCCACGGCAGCCGATCGGACGCGGTTGCGTCAGTGACCGCGGGGCGCCGACGCGATGGGCCTTTAGGGCGCAAGCTGCCGAGAGGCGGGCAGCTTCCCGGAAGGGTGCCGCTGAGCGGACGGGCTGTCAGACAGAATTCTGTCGAATTCTGTCGGCTGTCTGACTTTCCGTTGACTCCTGTTGACTGACTGCGGACTGTGACAGAAACTCGCCAGTGAGCAACCAGTGGAAAGCGGCATTTCGGTTATGCCAACTGCGACGGCGTTTTATGTCATCAGCATTCCTTTCGTCAGCACAACAAGGCAATGAGGTAGCCGTCAGCTTCCTACTTTGGCTGAGCAAAAGCAGTGTCCGTGATCAGTTGGTTGAAATGTAATGTACACACACTGTGACGTCATTCTACACCAACTGGCGCCGTCGCAGTAATTTTGATGCCATCGCAGTCGCTGCCAAGCATTCAACGCCCCAAGGCGTCGAATATACCGTACGACCTGTAAGATATATACGATACGATACATAGGCATCGGTGCGGACACCAGACATCGTCGAAAGAAGGCAACATGAGCTCAAAAAATCGTTCATTACAATTCAGTCCCACAAATCAATGAAAAATGTTAGTAGAACAATCTTCTTGCATTCATTTTCTCCTGGCGCCCCCCACCCATGCGTTGCCGCCTCCCAAGAGCGCACCAAGCTGAAGCCGCCAGTCACGCACACATGCTCTGCTTTCTCTGTACTCTTTTCGTGTGGTCCAGTCCTGGTAGCCCAAAGTACTGAGGCTTCGGATTACTAAAACTCTGCTGCACAAGGCACAGAAGCTTGGGATCCCTGAGGCCCAAGCTATCGGATTACTAAGACTTGCTGCAGAGTCAGGGGTTCGAAACCCAGAGTGTTGGACCCAAGCCGGACCTAGTACTTAAGGCCTTCAACCCTCAACCCCTGTGTGGGCTTGACAGCCTCTAACCACGCCATGGGACAGCCACAGCGCACACTGACTGGACGGGTGTAACCCTGACATGTACAACAATCTCTGGCCGAACCGCGGTACAGTTTTAGCACACTGTGTTTAAGCCCCGAGACAGCTATGTCAAGGTGCAGCCCTGGCGCCTTCCCTTGAACCGACGCGCAACTCCTCTGGCACTTTTGCCTCTTTTTTTGCGCACATTTTTTCCCAGTCGCTTTTTCTCCTTGGCAGAAGAACAAGAAGCTGGATGCCAAAAGGTGATGCAAGAATGGAGTAAAAATCAATCGACATCCCTGGAGTATCAAAGATGGATCAAAATTCTACACCCGTTTATCCCATGGGCACAATGTATGAAACGTTTACGCTACATCTGCCTGCTACCAAGCCCCTGTCGTTTCAGCGATTTCGCTGAATGCAACTCTTTTGTTTTGTTCAGTCCCTAATTATCAAATGGCATCGACCCCACATGCAGCCCAAGCGCCAAACTATAGTGCGTAAATGCCATCATTCCCAGTAACCGATTCTGCAATGGTGAACAATGCAGGCATGCAACTCAAGGTGTCCTCACCTCACCAAACACAAATCGACACCAGTCCCCATGCCATCATCCTGCTCTGCAGGCTCTGCAGCGCAGCACTGGATTGCCAGTGCAGCAGCCTTGTCTCCCCACAACAGCCATCATGTCAACCCTAAGTTCGAATCAACCAACATTTGAATTGCACACGCTTCGTGCCTTCATATGGATGACAAACATCACGGCAGCATCATCTATCTTCATCTTGAGCCAGTTCCTGTGCTGGATGGTCAACTCCAGAAATGACGCACTCATGGTGTCCCCAACAGCTGCAACTGCAGTACAGTCGCAGCACAACTGCACTACAATGTACAACAACTACAATGCAGTGCACCCACAGGATGGCTGCACATGGCTGTGCAGCAATAGTCTCAGCCTAGGCATTTGCCTTCGCCTTGCAAAGCTCTTGGTCACCAAACATTCAGAACCAACCAACCGAAACCAAACCATGGCCGAAATGGATTCACTCGCGCAAACTCAACAGACCGTCACCAGCCACCCCCGACACCACATCCCTCAGGCACTCCACCAGCGCCTCCGGATCAAACACCACCTGCCCCTGGGGCCCTGCAGCAGAGGCCACCACCCGCACCGACTTAATCCCCAGTTCCCTTAGGCCCTCCTGGTCCACCTGGATGCCGCCCCCCGCCGGCACAACCACCGTCGTAATGTACTGCTCCACCCCATTATCCAAAACCTGCCCGTCCCTGGAATGGTGCCGGTTCAGCGCATCAGCAATCGCCAGAGCCACATCTGAGGCAAACATCGGTCCATCATGTTCCAGGCACCTGGCTGTCTCCCTGTCATGCCTGCCGTTAAGCAGCAGTACTTTAGGCACTCTTCGGGCTGCTATGGCCTCCCCTATCCCCTCAAGGATTAGGGATGGGCAGATGCTTGTGTACAGGGAGCCCATGCCGTAGACGACGGCGTCGCAGCAGGACAGCTCCGCCACCACACGGCGGCTGGCTTTTGGGAAGACCTCATGCTCGCTGTGGTGTCCCTCGCTGGAGAGGTAGAAGACGCGCTGGATGGGGGAGGGCAACGGGGGCCCATCGTCCAGTTTGTCCACCCTCTCGGGGCCTGCACAACGCGCCAAAACCATCAAATGCCAGACTGATGTCCTTTAACACATTAAACAGACAATTAACAAATTTCTGGCATCCTGACAATCTGCACTGCAATATCCTGTTTTGCATGTCCTTGTTTTGCTGTTTTGTCGCCCTCCACACTGGAGCACCTCACACTGTAGATTCTGGGTGACACCAAGTGCCAGCAAAGGAGATCTCCAATGTGCCATCTCTGCTCCACACGGTTACCGACAATGCAAACAAAACCTCCGAATCCAGTCCAAATGAGGGAGCAAAGATGGCAAAATCGACCTGGACCCCAAAGTTGAATTCCTTGTTTAAACCTGCCTTTGGAAAACAGGGCGGTGCCCTTGCACCTTGAAGGCGACGATGGGCCTGCATTATTACGATAAGTCCTCTCGTCCCTCATCAGGACAGGAAAACGTCCGGACAGGCAAACGTCACTTCACATGGATCCCAATGCAAGGCAAAAGGTCGGGTTGGCTGCATACCTGACGTGGACATCGGGTGTGAAATCTCGCATTGGCCTCTCACGATGGTGCCGTCCAGCAGCTCTGCCCCAAGTGTGATCCTTTCCTCCGTTTCGATGGCCGGCAGCACCAGGGAGCCCTCTGGGATACGGGCGACCCGTGAGAACAGGAAGATGGCAGCATCAAGGGACCGGAAGAACAGTCGTGCCCCCGCAAAGAAGAAGTTACCTGTTGACATGGCATCCACAACTTATGCAGAACGTGTTCCTTGATGTGGGGTTTCTGCGAATTATTGCGAGGTTGTTGTTGAATGCCAGCAGAGGGATGCTGTTTGACACCCTGCGTTCAGCAGAGACATGTGATATGTGACATGACCACTGTGTCGTTTCTTCACGTTGCCCGTAAAGATTTTCATCCGTTCATTCACACAGCATCCAAAAAGACTGATTAGCAGATGCTTGGGACTGTCTGGCCTGCCACTGGGATAGGTGGTACAGCCAAGGTCTGTAAAGTGCAAACACTTGTACCACTTTCCATGCAGGAGTCGCAGAATTGCGCAAAAGATCACGTTAGGAACATTCTGGTGAGCTTATTTGTGATTGTCAACACACAAACTTGCAAGGCCCACGTTTTGCCATCCGCGGACAAGTGTGTTCAAGGATTGCCAATGCTGGAGGCTAAATCTTGCAGTCAAGCTCCAGGGCGTCCGCAACTAAAATCCGATGAGCACATGCCCACCGACCTCCTTCTGATAAGACACTGCAGTACCACTTGACACTTGTACTTACTACTGATACTACAGCATGGTAATCTGTCAGAGTTGTTTGATAACATATCCACAGTATGACAATCTGTCAGAGTTGTCTTTCCTCAGTTGCAAATCTTCAGAGGCCGCTCTTGGAAGATTCATCCCATCTTCAGAGCCTCGCCGATCCTTAGCGACCCAGCATATCGTCGGAAACTCACCAATGCTGCCGTTCTGGAAGCTGAACCTCTGTGTTGAGTTCCTGAGTATTTGAGACTGGAAGTAGACCAGAAACGCCCTTATGGTGTGCTTGTAGGGCTCAGAAACGCCCTCCCAAAGAGGATGCTCCCCTTCCACCACCTCGTACCACTCCTGGGCAGCCAGGGAGCGGCTGTCCGATGGCAGGCGATGCGCCAGCAGGCATCTCACAGCTCGGGCCTGCAAGCAAGGACAGTTGGTCAGGGTTAGGTCACATCTTAAGCATCAATGATTATGATAGTCATGTACTGATAACCATTGATATCTATTTCACTAGGGAGGCACATTAGGAAAGGTTGCTGTGGATGGTGTTGGGGTTTGGGGGATGCGGGGGGATGTGTGGGTGGGTGGGAAACTTGCTACACTGGAAAAGGGAACAGATCAACAATGGGCAACCCTCCTAAGCAAGTGTTTGTGAGACTGGGTTTCAGGCTGTGAAACGATGGCGTGGAGTCCCCCACTGTGAGATGATGAGCACACAGCACAAGTGGCTGCAGGGAGTGTGCCAACAAGAAGCCTCAAGCCTGGAGGCAGAGCCTGTTCCAGTTTGTCGCAGTCAGGGTGTGGCTTGGAAGCTGGGAGAGAATCTGCTGGGCAAGATGTGGGGGATGAGCAGAATAACCGATCTTAAGAAAAATCTGTGCATGCATGGCATGCCTTACCTCTTCATCTGAGTCATCAGCGAGTCGCAGGCATCGAGAGCGAATGTCGCCAACTGCAGGGCCTCCCAGGACCCTGACGATCTCGGCGGTGCTGCCGCCATCGTCCGACACAGGAAGGACGTGCGCAACGGACGTGGTGAACTTCTGCAGCTTTCCTGACATGACCATTGCAACATGAAATGTCAGCCATTGGACATGACTGTGCTGTCGCACACACTCACAAACTACGATGCGCTCTACAGTGCACACTATTATACACACAATCATGTACTGCAATGTTCCCAAGAGTTTTGTCAAATGTGTTTTGGCAGCATTCGCTTCTGCAAATCAACCATCGTCTTTGCGGGCACCGATGAGCACTCGTAAACCCCAACATAATGTGTGCGGCCAAATTGTTTTGTACCCTATTCCATACTCTATTCCTAAATGTTATGTACTTTACGTATTCACAAATCCTCCCTTGAAATGAATACCTTATAGTTAACGCACCTGCAACGCTGTTGAATGCTGTACCACCAGTGAAGACCACCAGGGCTGGCGCCTCTTGGTCTGAAACGCTGGACGCAGATCGGGACGACTGGGCTGAGCCACGGCAAGGCTCCCAAAGGCCTGCTGTGTACATGGCACTCAATGACGATGCCGAATCCGCCGATGGCCTAACACATGTGGCGGAGGTGTCATGTGGCTCGCCCCTGGCCATGCCTGTGACGCCAAGTTTGAACGTCCTTCAGAGAGATTGCATGCCAACAGCAATAATCGTATCCTCAATAAACCAGAAAAAGCCCCATTCGGTGGGCATTCCGCTCCTGAGAAAGTATTCTGCAAGGCTCTTTTGCATACTCAGCACCATGATGCACATGGCCCTATGTGACAACACCAGCAGCCCTCGTTGTGACAGTGAAACTGTCATGTTGTTTTCATGTGATCAGTCTCATGGTGGTGCACTTCCTTTTGGGTGGCACGCAGCCTTCATTCTTCCATTGGGACGGGGCTTGCATCCGAGCTTGTGACATGTGATGCAATATTACAGAGTAATTTACAATACATTGGCAATTTACAATATTCTGGAACTTTTTTCATTCTGGAACACAAAGAAGATACATAAGGACATGAATGTACTTTGCATGCCGCATGAACAGCAGAGTGTGTCCCTGTCCTGTGAAGGAACAATTCCTACAGAGCTCACAGCCTCAAATCTCATCCCCTGATTGGGGCCTATCTTGGTTTTCGAACTCAAATGAGAAGTGAGGCCAGTGTTCTCCATCTTGTCCTTGGAGAGAGGAAAATGTTCATTGTTCATTGAATTTTGTGAAGGATCCACTGCATGCCACATGAACGACTGACACTTGGGTCTGTGTCTTAGCACATTCAGGTCACAAAAGCAGGTTTGTCACATTCTGTCAAATCCACTAAAATGGGCCATCTTGACAAATCGCCACCCCGGCGATGCAAGACGATGCTGTGGGGACCATGGGCAGCTGATGGCCAGGCGACACAGGGGACAACTCCCTTTGGTGCATGGGAAATCTGGGCAGGGGCGTGGCTTCTTTTCTTGTTTGGCTCCAAAAACGTTGCATCACATCGCAGTGACCAGGTGCCACCAACAACCCATCAGAAGAGATGAGCACAACTGGATTTCCTTTAGCAACCAAGGAAGGCCACGGGGCTGCATCTGCATACTTGCACATCCTCACCTGCAGGGTGCAAGGGCCCTGCTTTGTCTTTAGAAGCCAAAGTCAAGCAAAGGAAGTTAATGGCTGCGGATGGATGCAGAGATCCCACCACTGCCCACACAATCCCCCACCCCAAAAGACAAAGGGATAATATTCTAAGAAAAGAAAGAAGCGCACCAACAGGGAAGCCCTGACTTGTATCCAAGTGCTGGGCACGCAACGAGATCGCTGCCCCTAACCCATTCCTCCCTCGTCAAACACAGAGGCGGAACACCGCACTGATGCCCTCAAGCACTGATCGCCGCACACTGCCCCATGTCGTGAAATGCCCCTCCCAGATCGGGCGGTAGAACGTTTCTGGCTCGAATCCATTCGTGGCCAACAGACATTCTGGCGGCTGTCCACACATGGTTGGAGGCATCACGGCTGTGGCATGCACAGCCTTGTCGTGACACCACATGCAGGAAATGTTCCGATTCTTCATCTCGATGAACTACTTCATGGGAGTACATTCGTTCCTGGGACAAATCAAGGGCATTGCACCTGCTAGGCGATGATGGGCATTTGTGGCATCCGGGATGCCCACACCCTGAATGCTGGGCGCCCCAGAGTCAGAAGCAGAGCCCGTACGGTCCGGAGGCCGTGCCGAGCTGCACTGGTGCCCGCTCCCATCACGCACTGACGATGTGTTTGCATTTTGTGCGCCATTCGGCGCTAAAAGCTTTCCAGATCGCTGATCAAAGGAGGCGAACCTGGGAGAAGGCGCCAGCAACTTCTCGCCCAGAAACGGGACGTTAATCGGCGACGTGTGGCACATTCCCGTCGTGCACGGAAGATCCTGCGCCATTCCGCACTTGCGCCAATCTGGATCACCCTCCCGAGGAATTGAATCGCTTTGTGGCAGAAGGCCCCACAGACCTCTCTTCCCCAGAAAGGGGATGCACACTGGGCGCCGTTGGGCCCATGTGCCCCGTGGCCACCACAATTTCTGCCCGGAGGTCCCGCGCACATCCCGCCCCGCGCGCCAACCGCGCTCGCACATCTGGACACAAAATTCTCACAAAATTTTCGCCCAAACATCGGTTGCCATCGCGGCGGCACTCCACCCCTCCCGTTCCCACGCAACGTCCAGGCGCCACTCCCTGGGGCCGCTCAAGCCTCCAGTGGAATTTTAGCCGAGATGGGAAGCAACCGCACCAATCCCAAAGTGCGCGGACGCCCTGACCGGATTCACGCGCCACGCCAAAGGTGTTTGGGATCGGCAATTGCGTGCCGCGCAGTGTGGTTCACGTCCCCGGGGGCCAAATCCAAACCCCACCTGCTCCGTCCCGGTCGATCCCATCCCTCCCGCCCCGCGACAGCCTCCATGCCGGCGCTGCGTCCCCAGAGGCTTGTCCATTTCCCATCTGTCACCGCCTCGGCCAACGGCTCCGACGGCCGTGCGCTCGGTGGTTTGGGGGGCGTCCAGCCGGCGTCCGGGCGACCTCACCCAGCGCCCCAGCGAGCGGATGCGGGCCAAAGCGAATCACGGGCAGTATCCGGCGGTGTCACGTGGGCCGTGGGATACGGGATACGGCCAAAAGTACTGGCCTTAAGTACTGGCACGGTGTCTGGTGGCATGATCTTGGGGGGTGGGTTGTGTGGCAAAAGCGGCACACGTGGGACGAGGGTGGGACGTCTCCCGCCAACCACAGGAAGGGGCGTACAATTACTGGCCGCACCAAATCGGTGACTTTCTGCACCCAATTCGCTGACTGCTTGCACCAAATCCCTCCAAAATTAACCTAACCTAAACCTTGAAAACTAAACCTAAGCCTACCCTAAGCCTAACTCTAGCCCTAAAACTCCCCCCAACCTAACCCTAACCCTGAAACTGAGGTGAGGACCTAGTGTGCACGTGGTTTGGTGCCAGCAGTCACCGATTTGGTGCAGGCAGGAATAATACTTCACGGGAAGGGGACCGCAACGGTGCCTGCTGTGGAAGTTGGGCTTGTTGGTTGTGTGTTGGGTGCTGCTGTGACTAGAACTGATTGAGTGCTACTAGCAACTGGACGCATAAAGAAGTAATGAGACGTTAGGAATCGCATTAAGGGCACTTGATGAGCGGATTGGGTACAAGGGACAGAACTCCAGTTGTCCCTTTGCTCGGCGGTAAGCCGTTGCCTTTCACTCGAGCCCACGGTCTCCGTTCAGGGGTCGTCGCCCCTTGATCCTGCGTGCCTGCGTCGGTGCCTTGCATTGATGCAGCTGAGGCACTCCGCAAATGGTGACTGCAATAAGCTTAACAATATTGGCAATAAATATTCTGTCTTGGGCTGGTGACGGTAATATGATTGACGTCTCGGCCCATCGCAAGTTTGGCTTTTTTCTTGGGGGGTGGGGAATGGTGGTAGGGGGCGGATATATGCAGGAGTTCCGATTGCTGATGTGTGTTGTGCTCCTTGCCAGCTGGGCGCTTGTGGGTGGACGGTCGTTTTGTAGCGAACTTGCTGGCATGGCCAATCGTTGTGTTACCCAAACCGAATGTTCCCGATGCGAGCCACTAGTTAATGGCAGTATAATGCAACAAAATGGAGACGAAGATGCCGCGTATACGTACCCTTGGCCCTGACGGCTGCTGGTGGCTGGGTGTTGGGATCAAACACCCCGAACCCCAATGCCCAAACGCCCAATCCTGACCCGTCTCTATCTCGGTCTCCATCGCCGTCACCGTATCAATGGTCTGCATCAAGATCAGTGCACCCCTGCCACAGCAAACGAGGCGGGACGTCGCAGCACAACATTTCCACAGATTCCCGATCCCCATTGTGGGGGCAAAATTGGCACGCACTGCAGGGATCAGGATTAGCGGAAATGGGCATACCGTACTTAAAAACAGCGCCCCCGACATATTATACTTGAAAAGATCGTGTAGTCGCGTAAATCGACATATCGTACTGTATTCGGAAGCACACCCATGCCACCGTGTGCACGCACCCCACGCTTCGCGAATTCCAACTCCTGCAGGGGGCACAAAACATAGCCCGCGCTGTCTGGCAGGGCCCGGCGCTGTCCACACATACTTCATTTAAAAGCACGGTAGTATAACGTACGAAGTACGGTACGAAGTATTTAAAAGCACGGTAGTATACGTCCGAAGTACGGTACGAAGTATTTAAAAGCACCAGGGCGTGCGGCATTCAAGTCCTCCCCCGCGACAGCCTCCACGATCAACTCGCGGCCGAACAACGCAACCGAAGGCCAGGATACCGGATTGGTTCGTCAGTCCCGAGGGAGTACCCGCCCGTGGAGCCAACAGGGAGCCCTCCTCGCTGCCGGGGGACGGCGGTGGAGGCGGGAGGCTCGCCGCGATGCGCGCCGCAGACCTCCGCGATTGGGCACCAGCGATTCCCCTTATTGACCTCTCCAGCAGGCCCCATTGATGTCCGCGATGCTCGCCTTGGCTCTCAGCACCGCCGACGTTGGTTTCAGCGACGCCCGCCATAGATCTCTGCGGCGCCCGCCGCCGACATTTGTGCGTTTCCTACCTTGGACATCCACGGCAACGCCATGGGCCGCGCGGCTGGCTTGAGCCGGAATGGCCCAACGGCCACTCGCCGCCGTTTGCCGGGATCGGCGGTTTTGGGATTGCGCGCATCCGCTTGATCAAGCCTCGTGCCGCATGGGATTGTGCTCCTTTGCATGATCAACCTCTTTCGAGCTGGAATGTGTTTTCCAGGGGAGCATCGTTGGGAGAGCCGCGTCCGGTGCGCGGCCGGCGGTGGAGGTTGGGGCCCGAAGGCTGCTGGCGCCCGCTGTCGACCGCGCGGTGGGGTTGACCCGGATCGGCTAAACGCGCTCGTCGCTGTCCACCGCATCGCGGATTGGCTGCGTGGCATTGTGCGCGTCTCATTACTGTTAAATACTGTTGTGTACTGTTAACAACTAAACGCGTAAAAGAGTGATGGGGCTTTAGGAATTGCATTGAGATATTGGTGGACGGACTGGAAATAAGGGACAGATGTCCTGTTGTCCCTTTGCTCAGCTGTAAGCCGTTGCTGTGTACTCGAACTGCAGTCCCACTCAGGGGCCGCCTCCCCTCGACCCTGCCCGCCTTCGTCGGCACGTTTGGGCTGTGGCCTTGTACGCATTTGCTTGACGGCACTGTTCACACCTGCTTGGTGGCATTGCACACGTTTGTTCCATGGCGCTGTGCACATTTACTGGATGGCACTTTGCACATTTGCTGCGTGGCAGTGTGCATATCTGTTTGACGGCATTGTTCACATTTGCCTCGTGCCATTTTATGCATCCGCTTAGTGGCACTGCCATCACCACCATCATTCATTCTTACATACTAAATGGCATATGCATGCTATATGCTGTGTATCAAAGCAAGGAGGTAGCCGCTAGCATCTTATTTTTCCCGAGCGAAGCAGTCTCCATGATTTGCTCATTGAAATCTAAAGTTTAACACAAGCAAAGTCCAGAAATCTGCATTTGCTGAATGCTACTGTACCCATATACTTAATGGCACGCATTTGCTTGATCATCCTCTTGACAGTCAACATGTGATGCGCTCCAGGCGAGCCGCCCCCGCAACACCTCATCCGGTGGGCGGCTGGTGGATGAGGTTGTAACTCGAAAGCGGGAGCGTCATGGCGCGGCTTTCCGAGCACAATGCAAAGGGTGAAAAGGCGATGCGGGGAATATTGTGGGTGTTGAGGCACCCGAGGTGCGTTTAGTGGTGGGGAGAGAGGAGGGAAGTATTTAGGCGTGCAGCTGGGCATACCCACGAGGCAGTGGTTCGTCTTACCCACCGTTTGTGGCTGTGTTTCCCAACTGATATCTACTGGAGAACAGCAGCATTAAGATCGCGCAGAGCAAAAGTGCCATTGTTTGTCGTAAATTGTTGGTGGATTCATAACGTGCTTCAAGGGGTGCTGACACTGCAGCCATCAGAATAAGTTATGCACACATAATTCAGCCAGGGCACATGAAGCGCGCGGCACAATTGTTCTTCCTTGCGGTAACGGAGGCAAACAGGAAATTACAAATTGCTCATAACTGCTCGGCATCACCTTTTTGAATCCCATTCCCTAATTCTCGATCAAAGTACTGGCTGTTCAGCGTCTTTGATACGCGTCGCAAAACTGAGTCTGGTATCCCGCTACACAAGGAAAAAGGGCCAAATAACACGTGTTCAAAAGTGTGAAAAGTCTACGGGTTTGTTTTATTTTTGTGTTCTTAGCGTGCAGGATATTGATAAATGCAGTCTATGTGTGTTTGCAAAAGTGTTATTTGGTCCTTTTTTTGCTAGTGTTAAAAGCATATATTGCCTAGTGGATGCGTGTGGCTGAAATCCAAGCTGATGTCCATCGCCAACACAAATTTGTATGGTTGCTTTTCCTATCGTTGTACAGGAGTATTCAAAATGGGGCTGGGGTCATGTGCGTCTCATCTTTTGGACAGAGTTGAAGAGATCCGCGATGCATTTTTTCTTTGAGAACGCCGCGTCTTGGTCAAAAGAGCGCGGGGTGTGAATCGCCACTGGGGCGGATGGGCCACTCAAGCCACACAGTGCCTGTGCCTTGAGGACAGGCTTGCGTCAAAGATAGATGTCACCATGAGGAAGTTTGCGAATCTGAGGAACTTGCAACTTCGATGGACACCGTTCCACCTTTGTGATACCTCCGTTGAGAAGCGTCTTTCATTCTTGGCTCAGCTGCCACACTTGACTAAGGTTCATATTTGTCTGGCCTTTCAGAAGTACCCGACGGGGTGCTTAAAGGTCTGGAGGCCGTGGAAGTCCTGAGGACGTTGTCGCTTGACAATGTGTACGATATTGACTGTGCTGAGTTGGGAAGGCTTACAGCACTGTCAAACCTAAGTATTCGCTCACCTGGGTTATATGGTGGTATGCCACGAGATAGATTGTTGGCGTCCTTGCTGATCCTAGATGCTTTGACCGGACTTTCACCGTCTTGCGCCTAGGAATTCACGGATGGCGAGGTTGCTCGACTGGAAGATCTGCCTTCATTACTAGTCTCAATTTGCTAGAGTGCCATCATCTGACAAATGGGATGTTGCACCACTTGTCGGAGTTGAAATCCTTGACGCACCGGGATTTGTCATGTAGGCTCTCCATGACACTAGCAAAAGAAGGACCAAATAGCACTTTTTGCGAACACATGCGTATTCATTTCGTCAGTGCTCTACACGCTCAGAACATAAAAATAACCCAAACCCGTAAAGTTTGTACACGTTTTAACACGTGTCATTTGGCCCTTTTTTCCCTAGTGTCACCTTGAGGACGTTGAGAGGACCAGGGAAACACTGCCACACATCAGAATCGACTTTGCGATATTTTTCTTCAAGTTCCTTGCTGAAGACAGTGAAGGTGGTGATGCCGGTGGCACTGCTTCTGACACCCATGAAAGCTCCAACGATTCTGATGGCATTGGAAATGGCGATGGCTGTCGCGGTGGCCATGGATACTACAGGAGGCCATTGTGAGTGATAATAGTTTATTGTACTTTAAAATTGACTTGGAAGCTGGAATTTTCCCAGTGCTGCAAGTGGCTGAGCTGACCCGAAAACATAGTTTAGTTTTTCGTACAGTACACGCTGAAATCAGGTGCACAGAAGATTTTAAAACGGCTGTGGTGCTCCAATCCGAGCATGTCTTAAAGGAATAGTGGACTTCAATGGCATCTCGTTGTCGAGAAATGCTGCCTGGTTTACCGATTGTCATTTCTTGGAAAGTAAAGGCAAATGGTATCAATTGTGTTTTGCCCCACTATGTTGTTCAATGCCGGGACAACAGCTTCGACTTCACCCCAGGAATTGCACCCCGTATACGTCCCGCTTGCTTTGCGCCGTTGGTCGTTCGTGCCGATGGCAAGTGTCCACATCAAGGGCCTTGATTCAAAGCTAATCGTAACCGCCTAATCCCATCGGTCAGAAGAATTCGGCCGCACAGCAGATCCAACAGTCCATTTCGACTGGCGCCCATAAATGAAGAACATCCCTAGGGTGCCGAACATTAAAAAAAACGTCAAGAATAGTGCCCTTTTGGGGTGCCTATAAAACGCACACAAAAAGTATTGAAGATTTTTCAATGCTCGTCAGTGTCCTGTATCTCTGTTGGGTGCCTGTCTAAGGCAAGCTGTCATTGTGGGTGGCTCAACCGTTCCTGCAGTCGACGCGAGATGGCAGGCATTGGTGGCTTTGCCCCAAGGTCAGCGCCACAACCCCTGGCAAAACTTGCGCCGACAGAACGTGAGTAGCTCTTTTCGCACAGTTGATTTCCATGTTCGAGCCGTGCCCAATCCATCGAAGTCATGCACACGCAACGCGCCGCGCTCCAAAGTGGAAGCTAACCATGCAACCACCAGCCCATCTGCCCATCATGTTCAGCCCATCTTTCTTTGTTTCAGTCCACCTGTTTCATGTTATCCCCGCCACGATAATAGGTTGCAAGGCAAGGAGGTGGCCCTCAGATTCCGAACTCATCATCGCCATGAAATTTTACATGACAAAGGTAGAAGGTATTCCCAAATCATTTCGCTGCTCTTCAATCCATCAGCCTCATGCTCTAGATCGCGCCCCGTCAGCTCTTGGATTAGCCACACCCTTGCAATCTCTTGCACCGAAAATTGGCCACCGGCGTGTACTGCTTAAATCGAATCGGCCTGAATAATTCACCCAACAGTTGAACTAATTCATCCGAAAAAGGCTCAATTATCAGCCAGGCCCTGAGCTGCGGCTGCGGTAATGACTCGGTGAACCGCATCTCATATTGCGCCCTCGTCTCCGCCCTCGGCTTGTACATCTGCTGTCGGAGCTCCCTTCGCGAGAGAGCCCCGTCGGCTGGGGCCGCAGGCGGCTTTGCCAGCGCTGGTGAATATTGACCCTATGTTCAGTAAAGGCACATTGGGTGGTCGGTGGTGTACACAGAGGCCTGGATGAGAGCTGGGAGACGTGGGTCAGTCAAGCGTTGACCGCCCCGCATGTATGTTTGACTCCTGATGGGTCAACGTGCATTGATGTACAGCATTGATGTGGTGCCTTTCAACGTCCTTGGATTGCAAATGACTGACCTCAGGATCGGTAGAGTGTCGAGTGGTTGTTGATTATCTGGACTAATTGTTTGGTTGCGGCGAACTGTATCCAGTGACCTCAGGGACCGAGAATCATGCTTGAAATTCCCATGCGTCAAACTCTCTGGATTCCGAGGACTGCGGACAGCGTTGTTTCGATTTCCCTGCTTGCATGTCCTTTGTTCCAAAATATTGACCCCCAGGTTCAGTCATGAGGGGCAGCTCTATCAACGATGCGCAGTTCCAAATCCAGGATTCTTTGGAGCCAATATGGAAAAAAGAGAAGCCTGCAGCATCATTTCCAACCAGCAGTGTCTGTAAGATAACGCTACACAGCACCGCCTTCTCTGCCGTAAGGTTGTGGTGCATTCATAATGGACTCGTGTCAAGAGGTGCTCAAACTGCAAACATCAAAACAAGTTATGCACATATGATTGAACCAGGGCAGATGAAGCGCCCAGCAAAATTGTTCCTCCCTGAGATAATAAGCGAAACAGACACCAGCGTGGCATTATGCCTTGTGCTGCACAATCCTCCTCGTCTCGCTGTCTCATCTCCTCCCTCTTACCCCGGGCTCCTCATGGCCAGCAGTGCCCTACAAGTTGTAGCAAAGTCCAACATTGCACGGGCTACCACGCGGACTTCCTCCGGATACTACGTTGCCCCCATGCCCCTCATCGAAACGCACGAACTTCCACGAGAAATGCAAACAGATATGTCACATCTTTCTTGCGGCGAAAAGAGCTGAACAAACACCTCATTGACGAGATCAAGATGGAAGACAACAGAGCAGAGCCAGCCTGGCCCTGGCAACCGTGCAGCTGTGATGGCGCTCTAGCAGGAATCCCTGGCCCGAATGTACCACGATACCCACGGCCTCATGGCGTTCAGCGCGGGCACGCACGCGCCACAGACGCAGTTTTCTCCGCCGTAATACGCCACCCCGGCGCGCACCCCGAGGTCGAGCCCGCTGGCCCCCGGAATGCAGGAGTTCGAGAACAGGCCGCTGAAGTCGCCGCTCAGGACGTTCTCCATGTGCCCCAGCACGAAGTCCCCCAGGAAGGCCGTCACGCTTGCCTCCATCCTGGCCGCAAACTCTGTCCCGCCCTCACGCAGGCTCCTGATGATCTCGCTCGTCAGCGTGGCCATTTGCTCTGTGACCTGCGTCATCAAAGACAGAGGGGTGGCCGACCCGTTAGGTGGGCTCATGGTGAACCGGCGTGCGCTACAGCACCAGTAATATATATATATATATATATATATATATATATATATATATATATATATTATATATATATATTATATAATATATGTTAGTATATTATTATATATATTATCACTGCTGAATATTCTAATCAATTAGAATATTCCAATTCAGCCGAGAAAAGCCTGGCCACGTGTCTGCAGCCAGGGGCGCGATGCACGACCTGAGAAAGCGTGCGGCAGGCGCACCACGAAACAGAAAAGCAAAGCGTGGATGTGTGTGCACAGTGCCGGTACAGGCGCTGGCGCCGGCGCAGTGCAGCCAACATAGGTGGAAACGGACAGCTGCGGAACGCAGGCCCATGTCGTGGGCGGGACGAAGCTTCGGGATTCAATGCCAATGGGGCACGCGCAGATCGAGGCACGCAAGCAGGGCAAGAACATGAATCACCTCTCTCGTGAGTCCAGCCGCCAGGGCCGTTCCGGCGCACGCCGCGCAGCCAGCGGTGCAGCCCATGCACGCCAGGGCGGATTCACGCGCGAGCTCCAGCACCTCGTCGCCGCCTTGCTGCTTGCCCCAGGCCGTCCTGCACACCGCGACGTCCCCGCCCAGCCACCCGCAGTTCTCCCTCTCCTGCCCTTGGATCACATCCTCCTTGTTGCTGAACCACCCGTCCCGGCCGCTGCAGACGCTCAGCGCCTCCGCGGCGGGAGTGCCGCACGTGCCCAGGCAATCGCACGGGCTGCTGCAGCCGCCGCCGCCGAAGATGGAGAGCGCCCTCAGCGACCCACCTGCGCGCGCGGGCGCCGCGAAGGCCAGCAGCAACAGCGCCAAGGCCGGGCGGAGGGCCATCGTGGACTCGTGGCGCGATCGATCTGTCGCGGTGCAGCCTGCGGACTGCGCCTTTTGACGCCATTCTGGTCGGCCCCGCCCATAGCGCACTCTTCTGGAACGTACCGGTGTACCGGGGCCCGGCAGGCTGCCGCCCGGTGGCGTGGCACCGGGACGCTGCCAGCTAGCGCCGAACGGAACCAGGGCCTTGGTACCGCCTTCACGCCTCCGGCGGTCGAGGCGTTCGAGGTGGCGGTCTGGGCGGTGGGCCCCAAGGCAGCCCCCGGCGGCCCAGGCGGAGGAGGCCGTTGCGGCCTGGGAGGCGGTGGCCCAAGGGACTCCAGGCGCGGTCGAGGCGGTGGCGGCGGTGGAGGCGATCCCGATCAGCCGGCCCCCTGCCGCCAAGCGTTCCCGGCGGTCGAGGCGGTTTCTGGCGCGCGCAGCCGGCAAACAGCGCCCCCTGGGGCTCGCCGAGCGGCAGCATGCACTACACGGCACGGGAGGCTTCCCGCCATCCCTGTGGCCCGGAGGATCCTCCTTCCCCAGCCAATCTCGTCATCACCGATCGCCCCACGCACCGTCGCCATTGTCGACTCGCTCAGTCGGGCCTTCGGGCCCATCACGCTCTGTCTCCCCAACCACCTGGTCTCGCGCTTCTTTTGTTGCTTGCTGACCTGTAGCTGCAGCACCCTCCTCGGGCCACATTCACAGACACAACGAAGCAATCCTCGCGATCCCAGTCGGCCTTCTGCTGTGGTGTTCCGGATGTCTTGTCGAGAACGTGGGGAAGATCCCGGACCCAGGTCCATCGGTCTTCCCCCTGTCGTGTTGGTAATGTTATTCCTGTCGTATCGTGTCGTGTTGGTATTGCCTGAAAAACGGCGTGGCAGGGCGACCGCCGACGCGCCGAAGGCCTGCCGCAGTGCTCTGCTCGGAACTGCATGCAGGCTTTAAAACAAGAAGCCCGCGCTATCTGGCACAGCCCCCGCACTTGTGCGAATACCGAACTCCTGCGGGGCGCGCAAAAGCAACACCCCGCCCCACGTGGCGGGCCGCCCGCCCTGTCTACACACATTTAGTTAATAAGTGTGGATATTAAAGGCGCCGGGGCGTGCGCCATCAATCGAGCCTTTGCCCAATTCACCACCATTGTAGAATGTTACGCAGCAATGCAAGAATGCAGCCGTCAGCTTTCCCAGCTAATAATCTCGAATTTGTTCACAACGTGGCGTTTTCCCAAAATTTTCCTCACTTTAATCCCCAGCTCGCTTCAACCCACTTCAGCCCGTCCCCCTCGTCTTCCAGTTGGCTTTCACATCAGCTCATGGATTGGCCGCCCCCTTGCCCTCTTTTACACCAAAAAGGCTCCCGAATATCGCACGAACTGGATTCAATTGACCGTTGAATTATCTAAAACCAACAATGCTCAATTCTCAGCCAGAGCCTGAGCTGCGGCGTCGTCGACGACTCGCTCAACCTGCTCCTCATATTGCGCCCTCAACTCCGCCCGCGGTTTGTGCATCTACCACCGGCGCCCCTTGCGCGAGGGTGCACCATTGGCTGGGGGCCTAGGTGCCATTGCAAGCACCTTGGGTGGTCGGACTGTGCACGGAGAAATGGGAGAGGGGCAAACGCCGTGGGTCAAGCGTTGGCAGACCCGCATACATGTCTTACACTTGATAGGTCAAAAACATGAATTGTAGCGTTGCATTGATGCGGTGCATTTTGATATCTTTGATTGCCTAGATTTGGCCCCTGGATCTGTCAAGGATCGAGTGGTTCTCGTTGTCTGGATTGAGTTCCTGTGATTTCGACGAATTGGCTCCAGTACCACCAAAGATGGAGAAATCTTGAATTTTCCTTGCGTCCAAAACTTCGGATTCCAAGAATCTGGGAGAACATTGTCTCGATTGCTTTGCTTAAATTCCCTTTCACTAGTAAAAACAGGCTAGATGACACAGTCCTGACACGCTCTGCTCAAAATCCAACTTTGTACTTTTGGGACCACATTTGCCGAAAGTACTCAAATGGATTTTGAGCAGACCGTGTCAGGACTGTGTCATCTAGCCTGTTTTTTTTACCAGTGTTTGCGCACCCTAAGCACACAAATAAATCTCATACCACATGCATATACAATACAATGCAGTATATTGCATGACCAGCAGTGACAGCGATGGGACAGGGCTGAGTAATGGGGTACTTTTCCGCCTTTACCTGGCCCGCCCAGCGGTAAACTCACCTGTTATTTGCGTTTCGATGCGCCTTTTTCAAACACCAAGATGCCCTCCTGATCTGCAAACAGGTGGTCAGCCTTTTTGCACCTATGTGCCCGAGCATAGCCGCTTAACAAGTCGCTGTACAATCTTTGTTCCATGATTTTGCAGCATCGCGTTGCGGTCATTGCTCGCTGCTCGGGCCAGCCACTGGCATTTCGGCCGCATTACACAAGCTTATTATGCGGGCAACAGCCCATGTGATCGCCGTGATCATATCAATTGCATCCAATTAATGTATCGTAAAGCACTGAGACATACACCCATTCTTCCAAAACAGGGTTTGCAGGTGATCAGGTGTTTTTGCCTCGGGCTGGTTACGGCAACGTGATTGACGTCTTGCCCGTCAATGGTTGTGGCTTTGGGGGGTTGGGGGCGACTTGCTCGGATTGGGCTTACTGATGGGTGTGTGTGCTTCTGGATGGCGGGATATTTGTGGGTGGGGGATGTGTCGTGAGGCGAACTTGCTGACATCGCCAATCCTGCGGTTGCGCCAGCCAAAGGTGTTGCTGACATGAAGCACTGATACGGAGATGGAGACCCTATATGTGCATGCCCTAGAATTTATGTCTGGGGTCTAAAACCTAAGGGTTTTTACAGGCTGGAGGCCTACACACGCCAGAGCCTGAATCCCAAACGCCCACCCGTCTCCATCTCCGCATTGGTGGTTTACATTGTGAACACTGCACTGCAATCACAGCAAAAGCGGTGAGACGTCGCAGCACAGCACTAGTGCTCGGAATTCGGAATTCAAACTAGCAATTCAATAACAGGAGCTCGAAATAAAGGAATTGGGAATTCAAAATCAGGGATTAGGAAATCGGAAGTCGCGAAAGTAATTCTGCAACATTCGAATTCCGAACCCCTGCAGTGCGCGCAGAACACTGCGCCCCCGACCTGGCTGTCCGAACCCCAACCTGGCACAGGCCTGCCTTCCGCAACACAAACCATTACTAGTACTTAAGAACTTAAGTAGAACTACTAGTTCTTAAGTACTTAAGAACGCCGGCGGGGGTGCCCACTATCCGAAACCTCCCCCCGCGCCCTCCACCACCGCTCCCGCCAGCCTCCCCGATCAACTCGCGGCCGCACGCCGGAACCGAAGGCAGGGATCCCGGATTGGGGCTCATCATCCCCCCCGCCCTGCCGTCACCGGCCGAGGAAGTCCCCAGCCGTGGAGCAACGGGGAGCCCTCCTCGCTGGCGACGATGGAGGTTGGAAGCTCACCGCGACGCCCGCCGCTGATCACCGCGACGCAGGACAAGGATTCTCCGCGAATCTCCGCCACGGATCTCTTCCACGCCCGCCACAGCTCTTTGGGACATGCCGCCATGGCTCTCCGCGACGGCCGCCGTTGGCTTCAGCGATGCAGTTCATGGAAATCCGCGGTGCCTGCCATAGCAATTTCTGCTACGGCCGCTGTTGACTTCAGCGACGTGCGGCAGTGATCTCCGCGATGCCCACGAAAGAGATCGTTGACACTCGCCAAGAATCTCCGCGCCGCATGCCATGGATACTCACTGCGCCCTCCATGGATCTCAGCGGCTCCCGCCATGGAGGCCGCGCGGTTCGCTTGAACTGGATAGGTCCAACGGGGGGCTTCACCGTCTGCCGCTATGGGCAGTTTTGCAATGTGCGCATCTGCTTGGTCAAGCCTCCGTGGCTGTAAACTTTGGCCGCAGCTGTTGGCGCCCGCCGCACACTGCGCGACTGATTTGAACCCAATGGGCGAAAAGGCCCGTCGCAGTCTGCCACGATCGGCCATTTGGCACTGCGCGCATTCGCTCGAGGGTCGAGCCAGATTGACATCCAGGCGAGCGTCGATGGAAAAGCCGTGTCCTGTGTGCGGCCAGCGGCGGAAGTCGGAGCCCGAAAGCTGCTGGCGCCCGCCGTAGACCGCGCGGTTGGTGTGAAGCGGATAGGACCGATGGACGCGCCGCCAGCTGTTAAGGTCGGTTGTTCGGCTTTGCGCGTATCTGCTTGAGCAAGCCTCCGTGGGCCTGTACAGATTTGCTGCGTTGGGGCGTTGTACGCGTTTGCTTCGTGGCACTGCCTTCATCATCATTCACTCATGCTGACGCAATGAAGGGAAGGAGGTAGCCGTCAGCTTCCTAATCCGCGCCCGAGTGAAGCAGCGTCCATGTTTTGTTCATTGAAATCTAATGCAAGAACACAAACAAAGTCCAGAAATCCGCCTTTGCTTAACGGCACTGTAGACATATGGTTTGCGGCATTGTTCGCATTGCAGTATGCACCCATTGAGAGCGAGGGATCGATGTGCTCCAGGCGAGCAGACCCGGCAAAACACCAACTTTTGGGTAACAAGCGGTTGAGGTTGGGGCTCGAAAACGGGAGCGCGACGGCGAGGCTTCTGCAGAACACAGTGCAAAGAGTGCCAAGGTGATGCGGGGCAATTATATGTGGGCGTCGAGGCACCCGGCACTGGGAAAAAAACAGGCCAGATGACACAGTCCTGACACGGTCTGCTCAAAATCCAACTGTGTACTTTCGGCAATGTGGTCCCAAAAGTACACAGTTAGTACACACATTGACACAATTTCAACCGTGTACCCTCAAACAACTGTGCAGACTACATGATTTCCTTGGATGCACGGTTAAAACTAAGTCAATGTGTGTACTAACTGTGTACTTTTGGGACCACATTGCCGAAAGTACACAGTTGGATTTTGAGCAGACCGTGTCAGGACTGTGTCATCTGGCCTGTTTTTCCTAGTGGGAGGTGCGTTC